CACTGACTCTTAAATGCAACCCTCTTTGCAAGGGAAGAGACAGACTAGGAAGATCTCTCCATGTTCTTTCTCTGCACCAACAGGGGAATGACCAATTCTAAGTCTTGTGAACAAGGCCTTCCATGTGCTGAGTTTGATGTAGAGGAATGAAAATGAAAGAAGCAGACAACTGAAGAATCTAGAACAGGAATGTTTGAAAGGACTGATAACAACATTTTTTACCTATAGCAGGCAAGGCAGACTCCAGTATTGGTGCACCATTGATGAACCTTTTGTGATTTCCTGTTGCCTTAAACTCAACACTTACCTGAATCCGTCATCATTGTTACAGAGACATAAAGGGAGTGCCCAACGAGCTCAACAGGGTTGCGAAATCTGGACTGGAGCATAGCTCTTGTAAGCACCGCTTCCCCTTTCCCTTTAACAATCTGAAAGGGAAACACCAGACAAAGGAGAAAATCAAACATATATACACAGTCAGATATAGCTATAGATACAGATATATAGATACACATGTACATGTACACATACATACAAAAGTTGTACCAGACATTCCAAAATTAGTTCTCCACAGTTTCAATCACCGCACATGGCACAAGCCCAGGTACAGTTATTAAAAGCATACCATGGCCCCATTCTTAAATCACACCAGGGCTTCCATCACCAGCGGGCCAGTTCTAGACGGCTTCCCAGCTGTTGACAAGACTGGGGTCAGGGACTTGAGATCCAGCAAAAATGGATCTGCCTCTCAGGCGAGAACAACATTGCCATCTGGCCAGTGCTGGGCGGCTTCTTGGCTTCCTCAACACAGGCTGGCTGGCTGACATTGTTCTTGCCAGCCGGGGAGGGAGGCAGCTCTGGCTGCTCCCAGCACTGGCCAATTGGCAGCTGCTCCGTATCTGCTTTAATGCATGGAATCACATTAAAGCTGGATATGTAAAATTTCATGCCTGTTTTCAGGTAATCCACAATCAAAAGCATACTGTGTGTTCTGTGAAACGTAGTTCTACACACACTCACAAATACTAGCAGTCTTACCTCAGTTCTCCTGAGTGAGTCTGGAATGCTCTTCTTGTCATTATCAATTTTCACTCCAAAGAGGACAAAAGCTACGCCTTCTACTTTTTCACCATAGAGGAATCTAGAAGATCAAAATGAAATTAAGAGCCAAAGCAGACCTTGTTTCCTCATGTGTCCTGCTCACACATAATGTGGGAGGGGACAGGTTTAATGTCAACATCACATGGGGTGGAAGGATGAGGGTAGCTGAACCACATATCACAGTCACTTTTATAGTGTGTTTTTTTATTTAATTTTCTTTTGTTGTTGTTGATTCGAACTAGAGATGGGCACGAACCAGCAAAATGGTGGTTTGTTTTGGTTTGTAACTAGTCAAAGTCATGAAGCACAAATTTCCAATTTTCTTCCTGATAAACCACTAATTCGTTTGTTAGTTCATTAGCCCTATGTGAAGGCCCCCCAGGCACCTAGGGACACCCACTGCCCCATCACCTCCATACATTTTGCTGCCACTTCCTTCTCCACCACTGCTGCTGTCATCTTGAAAGACAGTCCGCTGGTTCCTGCAGCTGAGAGGCGGGCCCGGGTGCAGAGAGAGCCTGCCAGAAGCCAGCCTGGTTGCTATTTTTTTTTTAAAAAAGCCTGACTGCCTCAACTGAGAGGTAGCCCACATGGCTTGTGGCCAGCTTCTTCTGTTTAGGTACCTGCTTCTTAGCACTAACCTGCTGCTCAAAACAGAATTCTAAAAAATTGTCAATCACCAAGGCAGTGTGTATGTGAGTCACTGAGAATTCTAGCAGCTACTTCATAATTTAAATGATAAAATGTTGTGATGCATGCCTTTTCAATGCATAACAAAGCTACAGGGTTACAGCCCATAATTAATTGCATGAAAAAAGACAGGATGAAATTGTAAATTTTTATTTATTATAATATAATGGAAACATCTTGAATATTACTCCTTTTCACTGTTGTTTTATCTTCATTCCTCATTTATGTTTTGCATGTTTATTAATTCAATTACAATAATGTTTCATTCCAAATTTAGTGTATGTTCTGCTGAAGCAAGCTAACATCAATGGGCATCAGCTGAAGAGAAGAAAAAAGGCATTGCAATATACAAAAACAAAAAAAATCAATTTGATAAAAGAATACAAAGACCCAGAGGGAAGATTCATTATGGTGAAAGTCAAATTCTCTGATGGGAATATCAACATAATAATATTGCTGTACGCCCCAAACAATGCCAAAGAAAAGGTTTACGAAAAGTTGTTTGCGTTGCTTTTAGATTTTCAAGAAGGTAAGAATACAATATTTGGAGAGATGAATGGAATAGGTAAAGGTAAATGTTGCCCTTGACATTTAGTCCAGTCGTGTCCGACTGTAGGGCATGATGCTCATCTCCGTTTCCAAGCCATAAAGCGAGTTCTAATAAGCAATTAAAAGAGAAAAAACAAAGATAAAAATCATGAGTTTTGGAGTCTGCCAAGACAAACAAAACTCAGGCAAAAAAGGACTCTGGTAGCATACTCTGTGGCCTTTACCATGTAGCTCTGCAGATTTGCTGTTCAAGAGACCAAACTTAGGATTTTAAGAATTATTGTTTTATTAGAAAAATAAAGTATTTAGAGATATTCAGTTTATGCTATGCTTTTGCAACAAAGTACATTTCCATAAAGCATTGCAGTTAGAATTTTAATAAATTCCATCTAGTGAAATAAACGAACGAACTTGAGGAGAGGCATTAAGCAAGCTAAGGCCGAATACAAGAGGAGAATTGAAGACTGCTTTCTCAGCAATAACATGAGGCAAGTTTGGCAGGGGGTTCAACAACTAACAAACTACAAAGCAAAAAAGGTTTCCTCGGGCGGAGGCGTGGAGGTGGCTGAGGAGTTGAACAACTTTTTTGCTCGATTCGAGATCGATCAAACTGAAACTGTTCGTTTGCCATCATTTACTCAGCAGAGTCCCCCCTTCATTGTGAATGAGCAGGATGTGAGACAGACTATGAAGGTGGTTAACTCCAGAAAAGCAGCTGGACCCGACTTAATTCCTGGTCGGGTGGTAAAAGACTGTGCTGATCAGCTAGCCGGGATATGGACT